GACCTGCCACCATACCCACCATATGATACCATTTCACGTAGCTCAGGAGGAACTCGTTGATCTGCCCCTTCCAAAACTTTGACAAGCTCGCGAGCATACTTCGAATCCTGATCACTGAAAAATGTATAGGCCACTCCAGTGGCACCTGCCCTACCTGTCCTCCCAATTCGATGAACATAGTCCTCTACACCAGTTGGGAAGTCATAGTTGATGACAACCCTGCATGCCAGGAGATTGGTATTATGAAATTGTAAAATAAGGATACTGAACTCATCTTACATTATCTCAAGAGACTAGCCTTTCGCATCAAAAGAAAATTGGTTTTGAACACTATTCAGAGTTTTAGAGTTCTGTCAAGGGATTAATATGCAACTGCTAATCTTCTATGAGGCGGTCACAGAATACCTATCTAAGACAATTATAAACAAGTAAATCCCTATGATACACCCATGAGATGTGAACGTGCAATCAATGGGGTATATACGAACCCCATAATTCTGGCTTTTGCATGTTTAAGATCATATATGGGTTTTGTGCTAATTTCGCTATATTGGAAAACATATAGAAATTTGTTAAACTGCTTCATATACATTCCGAGAGAAGTAAACAATGAAACATAACAGCTGGACAAACTGGAAATGTATTCAAATAAATAAGACACCCAAAAAGGAGATCAAAAGTAGAACAAAGTTCTCAAGATATTCAGCCAGAGGAAGGACCTGAGAATCCATAAAGCTGTGGAGAACCAATCAAAAATCTCCAGCTTCCAACCATATAACTATCAAAAATCTAAAACAGTGCTTAGTTTCTGTTACCTCAATGCACCAGATTCAGATATACCAAAAGGAAGACAAAATTATAGCCTTCTCAAAGGAAAAACATTCATTGTGACCAGTTTATCCAAGCCAATGCATGATTACCAGACAAGAACTCCGAGAACAAAACAGGAAGCAAATTAAGAACTTTCAAATTTTAAAAACTAGACAGGTGACACCAAAATGCATATAAGATACCAGCTGGGCATGTTCATTTCATAATTCAAATCATACAAAGGGAAAATAAGGCCAAAGATTTATGCAATATGCAATCTATCATGTAACTTACACTGTCCTATTCCTTCGATTTTGTTTATGAGTTCCTGCAAGCAGGGTCATCGATGAAGTATATGTTTGTGACAAACTTTCTGATTAGTGATTGAATTTGGGCCTGATTAGCAATCTAAGCCGTCTTTGTCGGTAATTATATATGTTGATTGCAACTCGAGCCACTAATGAGGGATATAACCACCGGTGTCTGCAGTGTGCAATAAATAATTAGGAGGTAGAATATAGTTTTCATTACTAGAATTGGCCACGAGTTCAAAGTCCCGTGTCCTTTTGTAGATGTGCTGGAAGATCTGTTGGCACCTAATCTTTTCACTTTGGTCTGTTTTCCCTTGATACATTCAACACATACGTCGAAGTCCGAAAAATCAAGGGAATCCAAAATGCCATCAGACACAAGACGCTCAACTCTACCTTTTGAGATATGACCTAAGCGCTTATGCCATAATGTCGCCGAATTTTCCTTATTTAATTTACGCTTAGTACCACGTGATTCCACATGCAAGGATTCATTATAAGAAGCAATTGTATCGAGCAGATATAGGTTGTCATAAGTGCTTAAGTAACCGGTTCCCACAACATTTGAATTAAAAGATAAACTGAATTGACTGTTTCCAAATGAACAAGAATAACCTGATTTGTCCAATACAGAAACAGAAACCAAATTCCGTCTAAAAGACGGTACTACAAAAGTATCTTTTAAATCCAAATAATAACCAGTTCCTAACAACAACCTAAAGTGCCCAATTGCTTCCACATCTACCGATTGTCCGTCGCCCACAAAGATGTGTCTTTCAACATCACTTGGCTTTCGGTAGCTCATGCAACCCTGCATAGAAACACTTATGTGAGTAGTAGCACCAGAGTCTAACCACCAAGTGTTTCTAGGTACTGAAGCTAAATTAACCTCAGAACAGACCAAAGCAAGGAACGTACCCTTATTATCACGCCAGGCGTGATATTTTGTACAGTCCTTCTTTACATGTCCAGGCTTCTTACAGAAGAAACAACCCTGATTATCCTTATGTTGTTTCTTCTCAACTGGACCCTTAGCAGCTTCCTTATCATTCTTCCTTTTCTTGCCCTTATCCTTAGAGGCATAGGCCAAATGAGCACTTTCTGTCTTATCTTGCTTCAACCTGTCTTCTTCTTGCACACAGTATGAAATGAGCTCATTTAGAGTCCATTTCTCCTTTTGACAGTTATAACTGACCTTAAATTGGTTAAACTGTGCAGGAAGAGACAACAAAACCAGATGCACTAATAACTCGTCACAAAGATCGAGTTTAAGTGCCTTAAGCTTTGAAGCAATATGAGACATTTCCATAATGTACTCCCTGATATTTCCTTTGCCCTTATACTTCATTGAAATCAAGCGAGCTAAAAGCGTGCTTGTTTCTACCTTATCGTTTTTCGCAAAACGCTTCTCAATTTCGGCAAGGAAATCTTTAGCCTTAGTAATCCCTTCGGATTCTATGCCCCTGAAGGCTTCCGGAACGCCGCGCTTAATGATCATAAGACTCATGCGATTTGAACGCTCCCACTTCTCATACTCCTTCTTTGCATCAGAAGTGCTATCCGTATTGAAAGGTTGAGATTGTTCAGTTCTTAATGCATAGTCAAGATCCATGCAGCCAAGAACAATTAATATGTTCTCTTTCCAAACCTTGAAGTTTGTCCCATTTAGCATGGGAATGGAGTTGATGTTAGCAGAAATTGTTGCAGCAGATGCATTAGCAATGCTGAAATAAAACAAAAGAATGCTCACATCAATAACCATAATCAATAAAATTCAAATAATGACAATCCCTCAAATCATACAAAGGGAAAATAAGGCCAAAGATTTATGCAATATGCAATTATAAATGATAAACAAGACTAAAAGATCAACAAATTAAAAAGTTCTAACAAGGGCTGATAACTGCACAAGAATCAGATACATATTAACAAGAAACAGGTCATAGTAAATAACCTGATATCCTTTATGTCCAAGCCTCGAGCAGCAACATCAGTAGCTACAAGAATTGGAGAATTTCCAGTTCGAAAATCACCCAAAACCCTATCCCTCTCAGTCTGATTCTTATCACCATGAATAGCAGCAGCACCAAACTGACGAGTGAGAGTCCTTGCTAACTGATCGCACATCCTCTTTGTTGAGCAGAATATTATGACTTTGGAGCCTCGCTCTTGAGATCGTAGAATCTGTTCCAACCTTCTTTGTTTCTCAATAGGTTTTATCACTTCTACATACTGCATGCTCATCCAAGCAAAAGATATTGATGATCTAAGTAATCCAAATTGCAATAATAAATAAGATATAAACAGATCCTATAAGGCAATATCAATGCACACCTGGGTGATAGATTTATTGGCAACAAGCTCATCAATATTACCAATGTTAACTTGGGCAGGATGAACAAGTAAATCTGCAGCAATTTTACGAACTTCTTTTGGCCATGTAGCAGTGTACATAAGTGTCTGACGGCGAGCTGGTATCTCTTTAACAATTTTCCGTATCTGAGGCTCAAATCCCATGTCCAGCATACGATCAGCCTCATCAAGAACCAGATATGAAACTTGCCGGAGGTTTACTCTCCTCATCTCTAAAATGTCATTCAACCTTCCAGGGGTTGCAACTACAACATCCACCCCTCGATCTAAGTCTCTCAACTGGGGTCCCTTTGGAGCACCTCCATATACACACTTGAAAAAACGAATACAAAAGAGGAGTCAATATTAAAAAGAAGCAGCCAAAAATGAGCACCAGAGAATACTCAGGCAACAAACAGACTAAAAAAATTTATTCAACTTTCAGGTTCAGCAAAATCAAAGTAACGTGTCAAAAAAGCACAAAAAGATGAACAGAAACTAACCGTGCATGAAATTCCAGAGGACTTCCCGAACTTCGCAGCTTCATCTTGTATCTGCGTAGCCAGCTCCCTTGTTGGAGCCAGTACCAAAACTGTTGGGCCCATCCTCGGATTGTTGTTGAGGCGCTTAAGATGAATGAAGCCTGGAAGAAGGTACCCCAATGTTTTCCCTGAACCAGTTTTAGCAACGGCCACAATATCGCGACTCTGCAAAGCAATGGGCCATGACTGGGCCTGGATTGGAGTAGGAGAGGCGAAGCCTGCTCGCTGTACCTGAGGAAAAGCAAAAAAACCCGCAATCCCCGTGAAGAGTTATTATCTGTGTTGATCTCACAATTTCACTCTCTGACTCTCATTTTCTCTTAAATCTCGGAGTTATTTGGAGGATTAAGCTAATGCCAGAAGAGTCTCCCCCTTTGAAGACAGCTGCTTGCAGAAGCAAGCTAGAGCAGGAGACAAGTCCTTCATTTGGACCAAGTGGCAGCCTGAACCAAGTCACTCAAAGCTTGGCTTAACCCGGCAACAGGTGACTCGGAAAGGCCTTCTCAGTATTGGTCCACCATTAAGGGCACTCCAGCTATACATGCAAACCACCCCAAAGAGGGCAGCACTGCAGCAGAGTGTACGACATTAGCTCCTGCCCGGAGCGAATATCGCACCTACGACCAAAAGTACAGAATAGAAAGAAACATAAATGGCCATGAGACTAACTTGTAAACGAACACCCAGCAATCAGGAAATTCACATATACTATAGAAATTAGTTCATGATCATGGCAAAAGTATACAGGTAAGAAACAAAAGGGTCACAGGATATAGGAAAGGATAAAAGTTCTCACATACCTCTCTGAGAATCTCTGAGGGAAAACTGGTCTGCTCAAAAGTCATGTATGGAGGTGGAACATCATCCCCCTAAAAATTGTTAAAGCAAACCGAAAATGTCAGCAAGCACCAAAAAAAAAATCAAAATCATGAACTGCCAGCATATTCACAGGAAAAAAAACAATTTCCTTTCATCAAATCTTAGTAATAATAGTTAGCACATTATACAAGCTTCAGACAATCAAAGTAAAACAGAAAAACATATTTAAGTTGGTAGGAAAACCTAGAAAACTAACTTGCAGATTTATCAAGCCAGATTGTACTTACTTTCATCTGATTATTTAAAGGAAAGAACTGATCTAAAAATAAAATAAAACCAACTGAGGGAAGCACTGCAGAAAAGCACTGTAAAGGATAATAGTAATGAACATAATGAGACATCTCAACTAACATAACTCGAGGAAGAATAAAGTGAAAGAACATAAACTTCAAAGGACCATAGATCCCTAACTGTTCTTGCAAATTCTACCTCCACAGGACTGCAACATCATAACCTCAACATTTACTGTTTGACATAATAATCTATCTTTCATCTTGACCTTTCAACGAAAGATAACCATCAGTTAAAAACCAACATCAGGAATTACACAAGAGTTGCTGCAACTCTTTCATAACCTCAACATCAACTGATAAATATAATAATTAATCTTTCACCATTGTCTTTCAACGAAAGATAATCATCAGTTAAAAACCAACATCTGGAATTACACGACTACAGTTGATAGTATGCAGAAGCAACAGAACCCTAAGTAGGTATTTCAACTTCGCATTCAATTTACTGAACCCATTACCACTAAAGTAATGAAAATCTCACTGTTTTAAAAAACCTCCGCCTAGTCCGCTTAGACGTACGCCTAGGCTTAGGCGGTACCTAGGCCGCCTAATTAGCGCCTAACGCCTAGACGGTATTTAGGCTGCTCACCTAGATTTTACGAGCGTTTAGGGGAGCATTGTCTGCTTACGTGGATTGCACCTTGTAGGCATTGATTGTGATTTTATGTGTCGTAGCCTACACGTCCTCCAAACTCCATTAACCTTCAAATATGATTGTGATTTTATGTGTCGTAGCCTACACGTCCTCCAAACTCCATTAACCTTCAAATATGAACACCTCCACTACCTCCTCTCGTAGCCTACACGTCCTCCAAACTCCATTAACCTTCAAATATGAACACCTCCACTACCTCCTCCGACCTCATCGACCACCACTTAAATGAAGAAAGAAAAAAAAACGTCCAGAAACCGCTTAGGCGTCCGCCTAGGCGACTAAGCGCTGGGCGCCAAGTTCGACGCAAACATGGCCTACAATTAGATCTCCATGTTTATAATCTAACATCTTTTTTTATTTTATTCTATCTAATTTCTCCATCGAAAGAAAATAAGGATAATATTTTTCCTATCCTGAAATCAACTCCAGTCATTTTACATACTATCCTGTTGCATTACACTTTAACATAATCCAAGGCCTCCTCTTATCAATTCCTTTAGTCTGGGATGTTCATGCTCATACCAGCCCACAGAAATAAGCTGACTCTGTAGTCTTTAATTAGGTAGAAATAGAAATAGAAAATTCACAAAAGCTGCAACAGAAACAAGCATTTTTAACATGAACTGTTAATAACAGAGCTGAATCAAAATGTCTTGACTAGGCACACAATATCTAATAGAAAAGTCTGTTGCAACAGAATCAATACTCCCTCGGAATAGAAATATAAAATGATTTATGTTCAAAATTATTTATTAGTAAAAATAGTGTCAGATACGTACAATGATTGTTATTTCATGCTTGCGACGATAGGCTTCTGCGGATAAGCCTCCACCATCTGAAGATCCATGAGCTCTCGTGGATGAGCCGCTAAGTCGACCAACTTGATACTGAAAGTAGATGTACAACAGTCATCAGAAACTGATTAATAGTTAGAAATTAGACAGCAGAATTCCAATTGTCTATTCAATATTTCAATTACATTTCAAATACAACAAAGTTTTAGAAATTTTACTTTTCTGCTGAAATAAGGAAAATAGTCTACAATACATATGAGTTATGAAAGCATCAACAGCATTTCCGCTGCAAGCCGGTAATTCTTACATGTTATATTATTTCAATAAGATTTGTGCTTCCATTACATTTTTTTTATTCTCATTAAAAAGAACCCTTATGCTTACTTTACACCTTGTTTGGATGGAGGTTAATGGATGGAAGTTAAAGTGAAATTGAAATTTCACCTTGTTTGGGAGTCTTTTTGAAGGGTTAGAGGATGGAATGGAAAGTTAAATTTCCTTCCATTTTCCTCCCCTCCAATTTTGGGGGTAAGAGGATGGAATGAGAACCAATGTAAAATTTTACATATTAAAATCAATGTCTAAGATATACTCACATTCAATATGTACAGGTATTTATGTAACATTATAAATATTCACTTCACTTCCCTCCTCTTTATTAGATTCCCAAACAAGCAATGTTTTAAATGTCGGATGTCAGGTTCATGTCGGACAGCTAAAATTCATATCGAATAGCGAAAATCGAGGATATGTCGGGAGACATGAAAAAATATCGGATTACCATATCGGATGGTGTGCATATGTGTAATATAAATATCATAAATAAAATCTAAACAGACTTCAAAAATTCTATTGTTTAAACAAATAAAAAAGTAAATAATTTATGATGCTTAGGGTTGATGTTGAAGGAAAGAGGTGAGAAAATAGGACTCTGATATTAGCGGTTAGGAAGAGAGAAGATCGCCCAATATTGATGTCGAATGAATAGCTCATAGAAAAGACCGATGAGATGTCAAAGAAGAAGAGACAGAAGATGGGCGACGGACATTACTTCAGTCTTTTTTTCCCTTTCCCTTAACTTATCAGTTTTTGTCTTTAGAAGTAATATTAAAAAATCAAGAATTTAAACCCAAACCTGATTAGATAAAATTAACCAAAAAAATAAAAAAAATTAGTCAATTTTTCAGACTGAAAAATCAACTGACATAACCGACGTATCCGTCCGACATATCCGACATGTCCCTCGATATATCTGACATGAACCCTGAAAACACAATACACATTGAAAAACTCCATATCGTGTCGGTTGGCCCCTAAATCTGACATGTCGGCCGACATTTAAAACATTGCAAACAAGATAAATAAATTTACTTCTGTTCCCCTTACTAAACTCTCAAACAACATTTTATCTTTTCACTTCCAATCCCTACCTTCCCTTTTCATTATTTAACTTTCTGTGTCTTTCCTTATGCTGTGTTTGGGAGCTCACTAAGGGAAAGGAAGGAAAGGTAGAAAGGAAGGGAACTTGTCAATTTTCCCTTCCCCTCCTTTACCCCACAATTTAGGGTGTAAGATTTCCCCTCATTTCCCTCCTCTACCTCCCAATAAAACTCCCAAACAAGTTTAAACTCAAATTTCTCTTCCCCTTCCCTTCTCTACCCTCCATCCATCCCTTGTCTACCCTCCATCCAAACACAGTATTAGTAAACTCCCAAACAAAGCATTAGGAAACTGCTTTGCCCTCGATAAGTGGAGATGTAAACACAAAACAAAAGGAAAGGATGTGACGTTCCGTTCAAACTAAGTTACAATTTCAACATAATCATCACCAAACATATCAAGATAAGCAATGCTTTATTATGAAGCGAATGAGGGCGCAAGAAAAATGTGACACCTCGCCCAAATTTCCAATTAAACTAATCATAAACAATCAACATGCACTAAAAGACCCACATTTCCTAGTACAAATAGGCTAATAGCCAGACGATCTATGGAAGGCCAAAGAACTCAATAAAGGGACAACCTGATTGCTTCTTGATCGTCCATCCTCCTCGTAAGACTCCCCACGATGAACCGAGGAGCTCACCGACACCGAGGCCGGCTTCGCCGGAGCTGGCGGGCCCGTAATCTTATCTTTGACCGGCTTCTCGTACTGCGTGACATTGGTGACAGGGTTCCAGTAATAAAGATAGCCAGTGCTCCCATCAACCAAACCCTTCCAGGGCGCCGGCAGCGTGGGGTCCTCAGGGGCGTACCTCGGCCCGCTCCCATTCGAAGAAGCAGCAGGCATGATGATGAATCAAAACCCTAGTCTTCAAACTTTTGGCCCCAACCGGTGATTTCGAGGAAATACGGTCTTGGGTCCGAAATCTGTGATGAGAGGAAAAAGACCTAAATCTGATCAAATCGAGGCGGCGTTGAGAGAGAAAACCCTAGATCACAACGGATTTGAAGGTTAAAGATCTGAGATGGGATGAGAAATGACCTGGATTTGAGAATCGGAGCTAGAGATCTGAGATTGGGAGAAGACGAACCTAGGGTTTGAAGAGAATTGCGCCCCTCGCTCGCTCGCTCGCTCTCCCCCTCTCTCCCTAGATCTCTTTCTCGCTCTAAAAACGAGAGGCTGGGAAGTGGAGAGGGGGGCGCAGGTGCGGGAGAGGGAAACCTATTATTGCCTTTGGGCGGCTCGTCAGATTCCTGTCGCGTTGGTTCGGGTCGGTTTGATAATAAGAACCGGCTCAGTCACCTCCCCACCCACCCTAAACACGTTAATAATCAAGACGCGCATTTCATGCGTTCATCATATAAATAATTTGCAGATTAGCAGGTGTTTTATCGTGTTGAAGCATGAAAGAGAATAATGCGGTCTTCTTCTTGTTGTTCTTTTTTTTTTTTAATGTTTTCGCTAAGGGGGTGTTTGGTTCAATAGTGAGCAAGATTAGCTGATTAGGAATAGGGAACGGATGTTTTTTTATGGATTCCTATCTAATTCATATAAAAAAATTAAGACAAGTTTATGTTGTTATGGAATTATTTTTTTCCTCTTTCTATGTTTGTTTCATAGCATGTAAAAATGGAATCCAACTTTATAGAAACCCTCCAGTTCATATTCTTTAGTTTGATTTGGAATCAGAAAATTTTGAGATAAATGGTGAGAACACCTTAGGTGTTCTTACCACTCACTAGTGGACAAATTGTTTAAAAAAGAAGATTGGGTAATCTTACCAGTTTGCCAAAATTCAAAACCGAAAAAAAAAAACATTGTAGCAACGGCTAGTTTTAAGGCCTTGGAGACTATAAATTTGGATTGATGGCTCATGGTGCCAAATGTGTTCCTCATTCTTACCACTTTTTTAAAATTCTCATAGTTTGCAAGTTTCCTCCCCTCCATCAATATGATATCAAAAGAATGCCCTAAAATTTTTGAAGTTTGGTGCGATTGTAATCTCCGAACACCCATAAAAGTGTGCATGAATGGTAAAAATAAGGAGAGATGTTATTGGGGGTGTGCAAAATACCCAAATAAAGAATGCAATTTTTTCAAAACCGACAACAACAAAATCGCACAAATCGAGGCAACACAAGCTCATGAATGATATTCAAAACCGACAGCAACATTACCCAAACCAAAGGAGCTTCACAAGCTCCACCTGATAGCAACACAAAACGAGCGACACAAGCTCATGTATGACCATCAAAACCGACAGCAAAAAAACAAACCAAAGGAGCTTCACAAGCTCCACCTGACTGCAACAAAACCGCACAAACCGAGGCAACAAAAACTCATGTATGGCCATCAAAACTGAGAGCAAAAAAACCAAACCAAAGGAGCTTCTCTGTAATATATTTTTTTGATCTTTTCTTTCATCGTACAAGTTGAAATTGTCTTTAGCATGCATTCTCAGAAGACAAGTTATTATCGTGACCACAGAAGAATCAATTGTATTAGCACACATCCTCTTTAATTATTTTTCATCTACGCTATCCATCTACATCCATTACAAAATTAGCATATATTTAGAACTTAATATTCCACTTATTCAATATTAAAAATAATTAAATAACTAATATATATATTGAAATCTTTAAACAAAAATATAAATGAGATCCAAAAATCTATTTTTGTAATGAAATAACTAATTCATATATTATAATATTAAAATGAAATTACTAATTCATATATTAAATAACCAATTTATAATCATCCATGATCAACTATGACAAATAACTGAAGCAACAAAGCTCTAAATTATCAAACATCCAAACAAATCAACCATGACAAATAATTATCCATGATCATATATTAATTTTTGTAAAAAAATGAGTTATAGATTTATACCTTCAACTGCCAAGGGGGTAATTCAGGGCTGAAATTTTCAGCAACAAACGAAAGCAACCAACTGAGGCAACCAACCAATAATTGAAGCTCGAAATCAAACCCACCGACAACAACCTGCTGAAGCAACAAACATCGAATAAAGCGGCTCGAAATCAAAGATTAATTTTTGGGATCAAACCTCCAGATCAAACCTCGACATCAAAGAAAGGAGCTCAAGATCGAAGCTGAAAACTAAAGCAACAAAGATAACTGACAACAACCCACTGAAGCTGTCAAACCCACCGAAGCCAACAATCGAGCCTCGTCTTTGAAAAAAAGAAATCGAAGAAGGCGCGAAGAGGAGAGAGAAGGCGAAAAACCAGATCTAGGGTTTTGGTGAAGAGGCAGATTCCAAAAAACGAAGAGAAATGGTGAAAATATTGGGTGTGTCAGCTTTTGCAACCAAATCCTCCCAAATCAATAGGATTTGGGTTTCCATAAAAGCCCCACACTTTTACAACTTTATAGATTTCGAAATCTATAAATTTGTTATGAAGCAAACTCAGGAATAGGATTCATAAAAAATCCTTTATTTATAATTTTGCCTATGTCAGATCCAATTCCTATACCTATTCCGTAAAAAGAGTGAAACAAACACCCCCTAATGCTCTTCACTACACCACCGAACTTTATCATTTGCTAATTTTTATTTCGAGTAAAATATCATATTTTATCACTCTATTTCACTTTTAGCCATATATATATTCAAGTAAGATACAAAGCAAGTAGGAGGAAAAACCTTTAACATCTTGTAGCCGCATCTAAATATTTCCAATCTAAATATTTCCAATGACTAAATTCTCAAATTGGTATTTTTTATCATCTCTTTACTAGGTATTTTTTATTGCTCCGGTGACTTCTTTGGTATTGAAAGTCTAACAAATGTGCACTTGGGCATTTTTCCTCGTTGCCAGTGATTTGTGGATAAAATGCATGTGACTTCACGTGATTAAGGGTCGTTTTGGTATTGTTGGACATTATGATAAGTTTCTTATATAAGCATACATGTGTAACCTATGTAAGCCGCTGAAGATAATTGTTTGGTAATCACACATTATAAGCTACTTCTGAAAGCAATGGGGTGTTTGGTAAAACTATACTTAAGGATCAAAGTGTAAATAACAAAAATGACTTAACTTTAGCTATTAAAGTTGAAAAATATAATTTAAGGATATATAAGATAAAAATACTAAAAGCCAAAGGGTGTGCATGATATTCTACAATAAAAAAGCAAATGTTGCTTAAAAAAGTATCCTCATATTATTTGTAAAAACATTCTCTTAAAAGCAGCAAATTTAACAAGCATGTAAGATAATTTTTACCAAATATGGTTATTTACTGTTTCTTGAGAAAATAAATAGAAGCAACCTAGTAAGAACTACAACAAAGAAGCCCTAATTTTGAGGGATACTAATAATTGTGTTTAAACGTGATAAGATATAGGTGATGTGGAATAGTATAGAATAGCCTCGTTTTCTAACTCGGAGAAAAAGAGAGAAAAAGTTCGAAGATGTCATGATTTTCTTGCTTCAGTTATGATTTTAGAGGTAAAATTGCTCAAAGGTGTGTTGAGCCTAATCAAATTTCCCTTTATTCCTTTCGAGAACCTTAAATTCAAGTTAACCCCCAGTGGTTGCCATAATATTTGAATCTAATACACAATTTTGTTTCAAATTTATCAAATAATTGAGATTATAGCATGAAATAAATCCGAATAAAATAAATAATTAAATCTGGCCTGATCAGGAGCAGTCGTGTATTCACTGTCCTAGAAGATTGAGAACCCGTCTATCGCCCTGGCGCAGATGGTTCCCTTCCCCCTAGCGGTAAAAGCCCTCGGAAACGACCGGCCTCTGCACTCGGGCGAGAGTGCAGAGCTTCAGCTCAGATGAAGGAAGTTGCCCATAAAATAAAACTAAGATGTAGATGAAAATAATATGTAGGGGAGAGAATAAAAACAAGAGAAACTTGTTGTATATTTTTTCTTATTATTTTGAGCTCAACATACGGATATATATATAGGGTTAGAAAAGACGTTACAAAACCCGTAATTAATTCCATAACGTTCGTCATAAATTTTGTAACGTTCCCCATAATTACATAGCCGTTACACATATTTTTAATTGCTAATTAAAACATGTTTTAATTATAAAATTTTATTACTATTCATGAAGGCAAAATTGCCTTTTCTTAACAAAATATCTAACAGTCCCCCCCAAAAGGCAATATTGACTGAAGACTCAGAAATCAATAAATAAATCAAGAAATCATAAAACAAATATAGGTTGGGCAACCTTTCGTATCGTGAATCCGGGAGAGGTAGCTTCCGGCTTTGAACATTTCCTTAGTGAGTTCATCGTCACCTGAGGGACATAATGGACTAGGCCTTGAATTAGGCCCCTTTAGTCAGGTATTGATGAAAACACACACAATATGTTTCATCTATTGAGCAAAGCGGGTTGAGCGTTAAAGGTCATTCTCATAATAAACCGACTCATGAGAGTTTCTAGGGGTTAGCCTAGCCCCCCCTTAACCGCGGCCATCACGGTTCCTCTCACATAGGTAAGTCCTCAAAGGGTACTACAGCTGTTTATTTAATACCCCCCATAATACACACGTTGGACTTATTAAGAGTAAAACTCAGCCTAGCCAGCTGTATCATAAGAGCATCGTCATCATAGAGAAGGGGTGATAGTACAAGCTACATAGTGATATATTAATATATCTGGGTCGATGCTCCACACGAGTGTCACTAGTCCAGCTTGTTTCTACCACATTGAACCAACATTGGGTTGCCGCTGTCAGTGACCTCATCTATGGGCTTAACCCCATCTCCCTCGATGAATCCAGAACCACACTCCTGGATAATCCCTTAGTCAAAGGGTCATCAAGATTTTCTCAGACTTTACAAAGTCTAGAATCACAACTTTGCCTAGCAGGCGTTGTCTATATTGTTTGAAATTGATATTAGGTCATGATCTATGATCATAAAAGATCATAGTCTATGTCTGAAGATGTAAACACATAGTGTTTGTGCAGATTAGGATTTGACCTTAATATCTGAACATTTCAAACTAATGTGGAACTAAAATTCTGCAGTTATGCATATGCACATACATGAATGAAATTAATAATAGATACATGCAGAGCATTCAAGAGAACAATATATTTCATAATTCATATGCATAAAATTTTTAAAATTCTTCTATTGTAAGAGGTTACAAATTGATTGCCTATAAAGGAGACCTTCCAAATTTAAATCGGTTGCC